CTCTGCACTGAGAGGGGAGGACAACTCATCTAAATTTCTGCCACAGGCCCAAAGTACCACAGCCGTATGTGACATGTGCAAGCAAGATGGTGTCCCTCTCCCCACTCGTGCTAGCAGTGTCACTCTCCCACCCAGCACCATGCTGTGGATTTGCTGATGTGTTGTTCTGTCCCATATGCCACTGGCACCTTAGAAAAATAAGCCATTTTTGCTCCACTTGATTAGTCAGCCTAAACAATACAAGTATTACCCCTACTATATATTTTCTAATTATTACTTCTTCTCCCTACTTGTTTTAGTATTGAAGAAATCAAGTTTGTTTCAGGGAACACTGGCTCTGACCTAAGACAGTCCCTCTCTCCCTGACCTAGATCACTCTGTTTTCTTTCCTTGCTCAGTGGATCTATGCTTTATTAATTTGTCATTATAAATCTTGTTCTTCCTTGCCCATATTGCACTTAAGTAGTACTTTTAAATTCCTTCCTTACTTTCTCCTGTTTCATATAAACAGCTCTTACCAGACTATCTACAATAGTGTCATACCTGTCAGAGCAGCAGTCTCTAGGGGCTGATCAAAATGCTGGACCAACCCTGTCCACAAGTTTCTCCTGTCCCATGTTCCTTAGGGATGGCAGCACATGCAGCATTCCAGATAGCCCCAAAACTATGGCAGGAATTTTACTTAGATATTCATCAGACCCTTGACATTAATTTCTCTGATGGTTACAGCGAAGGATCTACACAGTTCTCTAAAGCAGTGAGGTCTGGGCTTCATACCCAGGCACAGAAGTACAGAAGATGCCCCAGAAGAGTTTCCCACATTACCACCCTGGGCAAGTGGTGCCATAACCCCTGCAGATGATGAAGCAGATTAACCAAGGATGTCTTTCCTTTCACAAACATTGATTTTGTCTGATTTTTATCTTCCTCCTCCAGAAAGAAAATTGACTGTGCAGTGAGGACAGCAGTAGTTATGACTAAGAGGTCAACTACTCTCTAGGGGAACCCCCAGAGTATCCCTTTATCCCTTGTGTTTCTTCACATGCAGTATTCAGCAGATGTACCAGATAATTCCAAAATACTACAGAATGGAGTGGTATTCTGGTTGGAAGGGACCACAGTGGATCATGTTGTCCAACCTCCCTGCTCAAGTAGGGTCATCCTAGAGCACATTGCACAGAATTGTCTGCTGACAGTTCTTGAGTATCTCCAATGAGGGAGATTCCACAGTCTCTCTGGGTAATCTGTTACAGATTAAATTAAACTATTTCAGTTGACAAATTTCTTTTCTTGTCCTCATCTATTTCCCCATTTATTTCCCTGACAGAGCTCAGAGCAAGCCTTCCTCTCTTCCTACCATAGCACCTCCTTATGCTGTGCCTCTGTTTACCGCAGTTCCCGGGGCTACCTGTGCTGCTCGCCATCAGGTGACCTGTACAGCATTTGCTAGCATCAGCTTCAGACAAGTCAAGCCACATCAAATTTTCAGTGGTTCTTTGGCAGTATCATGACATCAATGAAGCCACACCCCTCCATGGTCCTGTCAGATGTCCTGGACTCTGTTGCTTCCCCAGGAATGTTAAATCCATGTGCCTTTCCATAACTCACCCAGGCAGCAAGAGATACCCACTCACAACTGACTGTGCAGTCAAAGGCACAGTCATTTCCATCATTTTTGCTGCTTCTTGGGCCAGAAAACATACTACTTGCTTTCACAACTGCAGCTGAAGTGAGAGCTCATGAAATGGAGCCACTAACAGCAGTAGCTTGAGAGACAGGGCTGTGCAAGCACCCCAATGCTGCCCTTCTAGGGCATCAGGCTCTACCTTACAGCAAACCTCGTAAAATCCTGGGGCTTCTTTGGGGCCAGGGCACTGACAGCACCCTGAAGTGCCTGCTTGACAAATACAAATGGGATGGTAGACTCAGCTGAGACAAAATTTTTCATGCTAAGCCTAAGCCTGGGCTAGTGCTGCTCCTCAAAGATAAACAGGCATGTCTGGGACTGCCGACAATGGACTTTTCCCTGCATGTGAATGTTTAGAAAATGTACTGCAATTGCTCCCTAAATCTTGGGAAAGTACACTGGGATGGGTACAAAGCAAGCACACAGGCCTGAGGGCTAACACCAGTGTTGCACATAGGAGAGTAGCTGGGAGAAATTCTGATCAAAGGATGGGGACCATTCACTCATATGGAGGGAACAAGGCTTCGATAGGTGTGTGAAATCCCTCCTTATCCTGCTTTAACTGAAATGTAGATGGGCTTTAGTTCTAGTTTACCTACTTAGAAGTTATAGATCCCCAGCTCCTTGCTGGGAGAAATGACAATTTTCCAGATGCATCTTCTTTATCCCTTTCAAAAAACAACCAAAAAATCTCCTTTTCAAACACCTTATAGCTATCCACTAACCAACAGAGAGTTAAAACACCCCTTGAGCATGACAGGGAAGAGCTGAACATCCTCTCTTCAGTGATTTGAGCAGGAAGCATAACAGAAGGCTCAATTATTGCTTTAAAAATGACAGGAAACTTTCATTTTCATATCCCATTCATGGATAATGAAAATGTACTGAAGAGAAGGAAAATCTGACTGTATTAATGAGAGGACACCCTTGAAAATCAGAAACAATGGGAAGGAATGGGCAGAGAGACAGAAATAATTACCATAGCAGCAGTGTTTGCTGCACTGTTATTAAGGTTTGTCAGAGTTTCAATGACTTTTTTAAGTACCTTTTTTATTTTCAACAGAATATGTAAAAATGTTCTGTTTTGAACTTTTGTACAAAAGAGTTTAGTTGTAATTTTTTAAAATCATTTTGGCAAAATTGTTTCAGATTCCTACTTTACATGTCTAAATCTTAACTCTGGCTTTTTATTTTTTTTTTAACCAGAAATGTGCTCATCAATCCATACTCAAATGCCACTGGGTTTTTTTAGAGGTGCATTTTTATTCAGCTGTAGAAATTATTATCCTAAATTCAATTTGGCTAGTGAGAAATGTGGTGGTGTGAAATGTCCTGAGCAAAGCTTGGTGAGCAGTAGCTCTGAAAGTCATGAAAGAAGATGCTCAGCTGAGTTACAGTAATCTGCAAGGCAACAATGTGCAATGACTATGCTGGGACATTAAAAAAAAACAGGACATCTTGGTTCTGCCAGTTTACTGTTAGTATTTGTAATGTGGAGATGCCCAGTAGTGTTACAAATACAAAATAACAACAACAGCATATTATAGTAAGAAAATAAGTTACTATGAAAAATCTCTTCACATGTGGATTCTTTGCTTAAGAAGTTCTCAGATTTTCAGAGTGTGGACAGGGCTTCTCTGAGGAGGAAACCCTCAGTCTGACCCTTTTGAGACTGGAGGGCTTGGGGGAAATGGCGCTTTTTTAGTCTGGTGGGTAGGAAGCCAGGCAGAATGAAAGGTTGCTACAGGTACTGCTGAATGGAGGGACAGTAAGGACTTGAAACGGAAACACTCTTTTTGTGTCTGAAATTAAGGTAGATGGCAGGGGGAAGAAGAGTAAAGCAACAGAACCGGAATGTGAAATACAAGGACTAGTCCTGTGTCATGACAACAGAAGAAAAAACACCGTCTTGACTATTTAACTGTCTACCTATAGGATAGCTGCAGAACCTTTAAGCCCCTTTAAGCAGTAGTTCTGCAGTCAGCCCATTGAACTCAATGATCAGCATAGAATTGTACGATTTTCTGACTGTTTTCATACATTGCACCTTTTGACATTCATGTCAATGTATTTTGCTTCTATACTTTACCTCTACTATGAACCATCCTTCCTCGGCCACAAGGGTTAGTGGAGACACAAATTTTCCTTTTTTGTAGAAAAACCTGTTTGGAATATCCTGTATGTTATAAACATCCATGTGTTCCACGGCTTTCAATTTTTGATATATCTGCAAAGAAAACAAATGTTAGGACACTATATGTCTGTAAAGAACATACATGCACCAATGGGTACACTGAAACACCTGAATTTGCAAAATGGCTAATCCCCTTTAATGGCTAACCATTAGCACATTCAAACCAGGACTCTGCCCGTCCAAAAATGATGGCTGGACAAAACCTACTTATGTGGTTTAAGAGATTCTGAAAACTTGGATCAGAAATACATAAGAATGCATGAATTCATGTATTATATATTTATGATACACACACAAATGTATGCATGTAAGTCCACCAGCCTACAGAAATAGACCAGGAGGAACCACACCATCACAAGAGACAGTGGTGAAAGTAAAGTGGTTAAAGATGCTCAAAGGCACCATGTGGATTGTGTACAGATGTGGAAAAGGAATATTTTCTTTATCCTCTGCCATTCATTCTCTCTTTGTGCGCTTGAGTGAAGAATTAATATCACCTCATCTGTGCTTCTTGCACTTAACCAGTCAATTCCTAACAAAGGGATTGATAGTGTTTAGTTATCTGCTTCATAAGGATGCCATGAGATTAATTAGCCAATGCCTGCAGCTTGAATCTGCACAATGACATACAAGTGGTTTATTAATATTAATCATACTGTCTTGAATATAATCACACAACTGTGGTTAAACCCCAAATTGTTCAGAAAAAGTATTTTAAATGCCTGAAGGAGATGTTCATATTCCATAAAAAAGGCCATTATTGGAGTCCTCAGACTCTATATTGTTCTTTTGCTTAAATATAAATAATTTTCAGGAATAATTAGCTCGATTCTGCAAAGAATGAAAGGCTCTTCACTAGCCTTTTAGCTAAGTCACCCTTGTGTGCCTATGTGTGCCAGAGATGTGCATCGATATGCAGTGACCATAAGGACAGCACCAGGGTGTGATGGTGAAATCCAGCCAGACCCTCCCATGAGCAGGACTAGGGTGGTCCTGGTGTTTCACCAGTACTTCTCTGAAATGGGATAATTCTTAAAGGTGATAATCACCATGTTATGATACACTCTTAATTCCTAAACATAGCTCTTTGAAGCTCTATTGGGAAACTGAAAACCAACTTGATTTCACTTAAAAAGCAGTAGTCCAGTAAGAAGTGCTAGAAAGAAAGGAAGGAAGGAAGGAAGAAAGCAAAACCATAGTGTAGAGGCATTGCACTTTATTCTCCTTAGAGGTATTTGGCTGTTTAATAAGAGAGAAGCATGTGCTTAAAAGCTTTGTCAGATAAAACCCCATGTCTGTGTGAAGTTGCAACTTGCCCTTGTTTGAAGGTCTGGCCTACAAAAATCAGGAGCTCTGGGTTAAGACCAAGGAGAGCACATATCAGTGCTGTGAACCCCTGAGATTCACTTTGAGTGAATTGCTTATGCATGCTTCTAAGACAACTTTCAGTCCTGGCACCAATTTGTGAACCAATGTTCACAATACCACAGCTACACAGTTCCTGGAGAGACTGGGTGCAAATATTCTCTTTTTAAAAATTTTGCAAGCTACAATATACTGGAACTGGCTAAAATATAATATAGAAATATAATATAGAAAACAAGATTATTCAAATAGGCACGGCCTGCCCATTTTGTACATTCATACATATATATATTCTGAGGACAGCAGTGATGACTTCTCATGCATTGGTTTCTGATTAGACTATAATGTACTAGTCTGTTAGTTACAGATACTGCATTTTCATTCTTTTCAAATAATTTCCAATTTTTTTCACTATTGTTTTAATTTATCCCTCAAAATCATGCAGTTCTAACCTTGGAATTTTTTTGGTTAATTCAATCCAACATGCTTCACCAAAAATTCTTCAAAGGAAAATATTGTAAAAAAATTATTTTTTGCAATTTGGTCTAATGGAGTTAATTCCTCAAACTCTATGGGAGTTTATTGGAGTATGAATGCCAGATCATTTGAAAATCACAGCTAGGGTGTCAATAAATTGACTGACATATATATAAAATCCTAAAAATGGATTTTGAGCTAAAATCTTTTAGCTGTTTATCAAAAGCACATAGGGGTGGGGTTTGAAAGCACATGTCCTTGCCATACAATGATGAAAGTTCATGCTTTCTAATTTGCCTGGTGTGACTTTCCTTCAGAAACCAGCGGCACAAGAGTGTCACAGGCTCCAAGTCTGACTCCTGATAAGAGCCTCAGGCTGATTTTTACACACATCCCTGAGAGCCAGATTTGGATGTTATGAGGAGACAGAAGTCACAATTGGCAAAAAAAACTGAGGAAACACAAAGACTAGTACGACCAAGCTGTACTTACCTCTGCATGCTTCTCTGGAGCTGGCCAGAGGCTCACAACAGGACCTCGGTCCTTCATTTGTATAGTATCGCTCATGTTGATATATTTGTTCAGCTCAATCACTTTGTCTGCCCAGGAGATGTCTGTCATCCCATGGTCGGAGAAGAGGAGGACATTGACTTCATTCTGAAGGCCTTTGCTCTGTAAAGCAAGTGCATGACAGCAGTTATGGCTGGTAAGAGCTTTGCACTGTCTGTGCCCACTGGGAAATTTAAATCCCCATCTGGCCTCCACCGATTTAGTGGAAGTTCACCAGAAGGAGCACATCTGCAAATGCCCTGCAATGTGCTTTGCCACCACCTGTAATGATGGACACCCACTCTCACTTGCTGCTCTGGAAGAGTCTGAGAGGTTAGCATCAAAGAGAGTTTTTCCAAAATAAATCCACCCCCCTGCCAAATAACCAGATGCTACATCCCAGACCAACAAAGCAGTTGTCTCAGTTGGTCTCAGACAGGATTTTACTGAGCTATTCTTAATCTATTGGCCAAAACAGATGGGGAAGAGTAACTTTGCCATGATACTACCTGTGGCAGGGGTGTTTCTCTCTTCCCCTTGGAAACATAAGCACTTAGAACTTCTATAATTTAGTGAAATTGGAGATCCATATTCCTTTCCTCACTGAAACACATAAAAAACTCCAACATGGATTTATCATTGTCAAAGATTCACAGAATTGCCATTTACCCCAAAGTTTGGCATCCTCCTTTTCTTGCTGAAAATTCATTTAGATGATGTTTTTTTTAAGTCGAGTTTAAAGTAAGGAGTTCTGAATAGTGCCATAAAAACTGCTATATAAGTTAATTGTCTGATTCCACAAACCTTAGGAAGCACACGGTTTTGATTTGTTTGCCTACAATAAAGTTTAGCCGAAAACACCAGTTATAAACTGTATATTGGTTTGTGGCTTCCTGGGGCTATTGGTGTAAATCCGCCAAGCAGGTTATAATGCCATCAATGAAAATAATAATCCAGGGAATGGTGCCTTGACTTCCACATGATCTCAGTAACCTGTTTCTCAGGAAATAAAAGTTTACAGCCAATGCATTCAGTGACAGGTATTAAATAGGCTCTTGGCAGTGCCACAAATAGCAGTTTTAAAAACCTTTCCAAAGGCACCCAGGAGCTGGGGTCTTGGATGGCACTCACCTTGATGAGTGAGATCATGTTGCTCAAGGCTTTGTCCACCTCCTTCAAAGCGTTCTTCCGCTGCTGGGACAAAGGGCCGTAGTGGTGGCCTTCCACATCAATGCGCTCGTAGTACACCGCGGCCATCTCAGCGCTGCCGTTGCTGGAGGTGGGAGGGAGGGGAAGGAGTGAGAGGCTGGCACACATGGAGACCTCCTGGCTGCCGGCGTTATTGTCTTCACCAGCACATAGAACCACAGAACCCCGTTTTCTGCTTCCAGCCTGTGCTGTCCCACCTGCTGTCCCACCTACTGTCGCACAGCTGGGCTCATTATTCACACCCAGAGTCTCCTGAGCTTGCCTTAGACTCCTCTCAGAGGTGGCAGTAGAGACTGCCATGTGCAAGCACAGGCTGGCCTGGCAGCCCTCTACTAACCTCTTTGAATTAAGAAGGCAGCCTTCCCTTTAATGACAAAGAAACACTGATTTCTGTGCTCAGTGCCCTTATTAAAAGGACTGTGGGAATTACCAGACAAACATACTTTAATTAAAGTTTGGCACTTCTGGCTCTCTCCTGCGTGAGGTCTTCCAAACCACCGAGGTCAACTCAGGATGTGCTCTTTCTTGCAAAATACTCAGCAGTAGGAATTGGGATTAAATTTTGGATGGGGGTTTTATTCAGGAATATGACCAAAGGGAAACAAAGGTAATCTCTAAGGTCATCTCAGCATTGCACAAGTTTAGCTGATCACAGATTTCTGCACTGAATGCCCTCAGCCTAATTAGTGGGGATGACACATATATCAGTGCTTAATTACATTTTCATGACCACTTTACAGTTCACTGTAAACCTCCCTGAGAACAGTTGTGTGGATAAAATCACAAACTTATGCTCACAAAGTTCAAACCCAGTCTTTTTCTGCTGTACTTAATATATGACAGAGTGTGCCATCCCTGCAAGATCCCTGCAAAAAGACTTTGTGTCATGTCCTGACAGGTCCAGCTTCTCTGATTAAAGACACTTGGGTAGTCTGTGTAATGAGCGAGAGAGAAGAGGAGGTGAGGAACTAACTGACTGACTGACTGACTGAATTAGGGTCTGTAATTTGCATTTTTCAGTTTGAGGAAGGCCTCAGAGGAACAGTCTCGTAAGAAGCTGAAGGTCTCTACTGTGCACTGCTGGCCCTGCAGAATAGTATTGTTTCTCATTCTTAAAGATTTTAAAATAATTCAAATGAAGCAGCCCTCTCCCCAGTTTGATTTTAAGCATTACTTTCCATCTGTATTGGGCATAAATCATTTCTAAAATTAACCCTCTACTTTCTCTTTTGCATACACACACATTGAACCTACTGAAATAGTTTTCTTCTGCTACAGTGCCTATATTAATGAGCTACTTAGACTACTTTATGTCTTCTCATCTGTAGTGATCATTTTGATCAAGATAGAAGCCAATAAGGAGATTTATTGCATAAAACAAGTGCTCTCATTTAGGCTATGGCGAGATTTCTCAGTGAGGGCTCAGGAAGGAAGGAAGTAAGGAAGAATACTCAATTACTTCAATGGGACAAGCTCAAATTAAGCAGCATGCTTAGGAGTTTGCAGGACTTGGTACAGCACATCCAGAGCTTCTAAGATCTAATTCTACTTTGTTTCCATTTTTGCCTGTTCGTCTAAGAAAACTAGGTATCTCTGATCATGGCTTGCATGGGAGAAATAATCTTTCTAACTACGTGCTCATCCTGTCTTCTTCCATCACCAGTAAGTTTCCAAGTAAATGACTAAGGAAAGCTTGCTGAAGAAAGTTGGATGGCACCGATGGCAATACCAAAAAGAGGTTTGTATTTTACCAGCACATTTTGCAAGTATTGTGCAAACTTCATGACACCTGTCCAGGAAGGTAGGTAGATCACAGCAGTCCTTAAGTTATAACTGTGGAAAAGACACAAGGAAGGTTTTAGTTTCACTTACCAAAAACAGATGCTTGACTTAGTTTTGAATATTTTTTGTCTAAATAGTGGTCTTAAAGCACCTGTTTGAAGAGACTGGAGAATATTCCTGAAGGATAGTTTGTTTTGGTTGCAAGAAGAGCTCAGTGGCTCCCTGATGAGTTAGGTATTTCTGTCCCTGCAGAGGGGATTGCTAAAACTTTCAACTTCAGCGAAGTTAAGATGGGTCAGAATTCCTGTGCTCAAACCCAAGATAACCCCTAGTTCGCTATCCCATATTAAAGGGCTTACTCTCTCTACCCTGGAGTCTCTGTAAGGTTTGCTAATGGTGGGAGCCAAAGTACAGTTCATTAACTACTAATACCTGCCATTGGGGCAACTGAGCAAGGCACTGCTACAGGCAACAGACTGCCCTTGCCACAGGCTGTTTTCCCACATATAGCTAATGCCAGTCTCAGCCTAATGGGCTTTTCCAATTAGTTGGTGTGTGGAAAGGAAACACTGGATTTGCCAGCCTTTGAACAGCTTCAAGGGTAAAAAGCACTTGCAAAAGATGTAAATGACAAGCTCAAGACTCTACTACCAGACATGCTAATATCTGCTAACTGATATACCTACAGTAAAGGCATTTCAGAGGCTTTACTTCTTATGGGCTGGCCCAACAGCACAGAATTTTTTTTCCTAAATCTTAAAGGAATAAACAAAGAGGATGAATGAGAGAAAGAATAAGGAAACCTACCTCCTTTTTGACCTGTCTGTTCTCTACTCTCCCTTCTTATTTTATGTCCCTGCAGTATTTAAACCCAGAGCTGATTATCAGTTTTATCTATAATCATCCTTTTTTGCTCTTTCCTGCCTTGCTGGAGACAAGGTACATAGTTTAAAGAAAAGGAACTTGGGCAGAAATTCAAGAGGGGTGTGTGTAAAGGGATACCAGAGACAGGACCTCATGCACCTCTGGGATGATCTGTAGGTTTTGGGCACTTCAGCAGGCTTTAGCTGGTATTTCTGGCAGGCATCATGGCAGGGATTTGCTCTTTTCTTGAAGAGTTTTCATCTCTTGCGAGTTGTTCCACCGACACTGCTGTGTTCCTGCCCTTTTCTTCTTTTCCACCGAAGATAGCAGTGGGCAGCCTTGTAGCTTAGGGTGAATTAGCTATTGAGACGTTTTCAATGGGATCCAGCTACCCAAAAAAACACCTTAAAGCGCTGGACCTTTTAACAGTTTGTGCCTTGTTGTAACCATGTTCACAATTACAAAGCTGCAAACCACCCTGAGCAGCCTTATGCACTGTGCTGCACAGAAACCAGGCGGGGAGTCAAGTATAACTTGACCCATCCCCAAATGATACCAGACCAAAAAGCTTTCTACAGTAATTCTGGGTAAGTCAGAGTGGATGTCTGTATTCAATTTTCCATTCTTTTTTTATTCACTAAATTAAAAGCATTGCAGAAGCTCCAGAAAGCCTCCTATATCATATATGACCTCCTCATATCACATGCAGATAACTTTCTGTAAATCTAAGCCAAAAAATTTCATGATAAAACATCTCGTGTGGTCTCAGGCAGTTTCTGTCTAAGCCCCATGATGCAAACAACACCATGATTTCTGAGCAGCAGGATTCAGTGTGCAACTGGGAGCAACATCTCCAGCAGCACTGTCATAATTTTGGAGACTTTATTTCAAAAACAATCAACACTCAGCATGTGAATACAAAACTTTTCAGATTCAAATCGCTGTGGCAGTTTACAAGTAGTAAAATAGAAATGTTTCCTAGGATTGGATAAATTATGGAACCAACAAGGTTTTCAAAGAGGAAGCCTAGTTATAGCTAAGGTGAGGCATTGGCTCTGCATGTGGTGATGCAATCTTCCCTGATTTTACAGCCTATGTGGAATTGTCCCTTGTTAATGTTTGAATGAGAGATAGTGAAACTTGAAAGCTGCGTGTGGAGCATACATTTTTCCTAGGAGTTATCTGAGATATATATGCCCATCAGCTGGGCTAGATGGTTGTTGTAGGCCCTGTCCAACTGAACTATTCTATTTTACTCTGTTATATCCTCATATTGCACAAAATGAATGCCCACTCCAAAAATATTGTGCCTGCAATGTTCTAAAATGCAGAAAAAGCCAAAGCATCAGTCTTGTAAACAAGTGACCGAAGCCAAATTTCAGAATTTCCAAATTCCCTCTCTAAATCCAAGCACTGCAGTCTGCTCTTGCAGCGAAGAGACTCATCCTGAAGCCACTTGATACAATAAACTAAAAGTAGTAAGTCAGGACGTCTCCTCTTTGTTGTAACCTACACAGGAAAAGTGCACATCTTTCCCTCCAATCTTAATGTAAGGGCCTATTTCTGTGGTGAGGGTGGTATTTCTGTGACAGTACTGTAAAGCAGCCTCAGCACCATCTTCCTACCTGGGAGCCAGTCCTGAAAATATCTCTGATAGTAAGCCCAAATACTTGTCCTTGAGAGAGGAAACCCCACACTGCAAAAACCTAGTGACATACCACAAGGTCTCGAGGGCATCACTGATGGCATCCGCAAAGTTTTTGTCTGTTGGGACACTGAAGTATTCACGGCAGTAACTTGGTCTGACTCCAAGGATTTCGACCTCACAACCTATGAGCAAAACATGTGGTAAGCTCTGCTGTTTCACCTTGATCACCACACCATTCGGTCCGAGTTCAGGTTTGTAAATTCCCTCCGAGATTACTTACCTTACACCTTCCCTGCAGGAAACCGTGTGGTTGGGAAGGGAAAAGGAGAAAGAGGCTGGTTTGATGAGTGCTCGTAGCAAACTGTACATTAGATCCTTTAATTTCCCTCTGTAAAAGGAAGGTCTCTGTGTGACCTTCCCACAATAAAACTCTTGATTCCCTTGTGGCAGACTGTTTCCATTTAAATTGCTAGCTTGCTTTCATTTTAACTACTGTGGCCACATAGCCTCATTTCCAGGCTTCCAACATAATAGATTTAGATATTGTTCCCTGAAAATTCAGCAAATGCTTTCCAGTTAGACACGCTGTATCTTATGTTGTAATATCCTTTATAAACCATATTTTATTATGTGATACTGGCACTCCACTATTAAATCTGTTTCCCAGGAGGTCTTATTAAAACAGCATAAACCAATTAACTCTCTTGGTAACTTGCAGCCTTCCTTGCAAAATACAGTCTGTTTCGTGGCCTAAAAATTTACAGCAACAAATCCTACAGGAGAACATGGCCCTGAACATAGAAAAACATGTTTTTTGTGAGGTTTCTTTGCCCTTTTGCTCTCCAGTTACTATGCTGCAGAATAACATTAATATTTAAAAGAAGTGTGCTTTCAGAAACACTGGATTCAGGTAAATTATTATTCCAGAGCCCCTGAGTCCTCCCATCACTGTTAGGCATTTTCTGGTGTATTCCTTGGGCACAAGGAAGAAAATAAAAAAGAGATCTTTTGCAATATTGCCTCTGTATACAGCAACACAGTCAGGTCAAAAAGGCAACTCTAAGCCAAAGCCTGAATCTGTCTACATCTGGGTTCCTCTGCTTCTCTCTGGGATGAAAGGAATAGGCATTAAGGGCTGTCATAAGTTGACTCATTGCTTGGGGTGGGAGAAGGTTGCACAGGAGGTTTAAGTACAGAAAGGGCACTAGACTAAGCAGAACTACTATAAGAGATGATTTACAGTGGTTTGCTTACTGGGATACTCAATAAAAAGAATTTTTCAGTGTCTTGCATCTCAGCCCACATGAGTTTACATTGCTGAGGTCCAGTGCTGGGACACAGGGAAAAGGCACACCACTTGCAGGCTAAGCTGGCTAAGAGACTTCTGATTGTGACTATTTAGGAGTACCGTGAAAGATTAGAAAAACTTAAATATTTAAGCTTAGGAAGTTTTTTTAAAAATCTTACTGATTTGCAGAAAGCCAGACAAATTAGATGGAAATTACCCTTTCCAAAAGTTAGAGCCCTAGCACACATGGGAGATTTAGTCTCTTCACCTGTGGCAACAACTCCTATGTCTCCACATAGTTTGCGTGTTTTAAGGGACTCCATCTATTATGATTAATTATTTGCAATAATAAACATAAAATGTAGTAAAATAATTTATTTTCCTGTTAAAACACATCTGCATAATCTTAAACCTCTATCTAAATTTTATTTCTATTAAAATTGTGGGTCTGTGTGATGATGCTCTCTTTTAATTCTTCCCCTGTTGCCCCAAACATATGTGATTTAATCCTCCCCTTTCTGCATGAAGATACTTTACTGTTTATCTCTCTACCACAATCCACCATGAAAGTAATCTGCAACCTGGTTGAAGAGCCTGCAGATTACTTGACAAGAACTGACTCTCTAGACCATCCCGCAGTAAAACTTCTATACATCTGCACACAGCACCCTCAAGAAATTATGTTGTGCAACAGAGACAGGTCCCAGCTGCTACCTAACCAAATCATAAAAAAATGTATTCCATAAATTTCCTGAAGTCATATCCAGGGAGCCCCCTGCCCTGAGGGCATGCAGCTTCAGTCTTTTGCAGGATGTCTTGGGTGCTACCAGCAGCAAAAGATGGGCTTACAGCTAACTCAGATGCTAAAAGTGATGCAGTAGTCCTCTGTGGGCTTAACTAGTATTTCAGGACTGAACTAGAACTTTGGAGCCAATTTCTTGTCTGACACTTGAGTCTGGGAAAAGATTGGCTCTAAAGCCAGGCAAGAAATTAAGGATGCACTTGGAAAGATGTTGGGAACACCTAGTATTTTTGTTCAGGTGTAGGACGGCTCATAGCCAGTGACTAATACCACCACTTTGCCTCTTTTTTCTTCTTCAGATACTGACATCAGATTGTAATTTTCTCACATAACATCCCTCAGAACTACTCACAGGATAACTGGAAGCATTAACCTCTTGGGGATCTGGGATATTTTAGCTGTTGAGATATCTTTGCTATTTCTAGATTGTCAGGTGATGAGCATGACATAAAAGACTATAGACGTAGCAACAATTAGAAATCATTTTGGCCACTAAATATTGGTCTTCAAGTATGCAGTTCGTTGGCAGTACCACTGAAAATTCAGGCTGCTTAGATATCAAGAGCTTTCTTTTTCTTTTTAGCCTCTATGATAAACAGAACTTAAATTTGGATTTTTGATGTTAAGGCTTGTTACAATTCCAAAATACTGGTCACGAAGACCTTTTAATATTTAGATTTCATTTTGGTAGAGGTCAGGACAGATGGTAAATTTTCTCATTTAAATATTATGGGAAAGGAAATTTAAACAGATTTGGAGACAGACAAAGGGAATGTTTTTTCTTGTTTAAACTACAAATAGTTAAGCTATATTTATGAAGATGTTAGATACCTTTTTTCACAGTTTTGTGTGACACTAAACCTTTATTTAAAAACCTGAACTACTGGAGCAGGAATAAGGACTTCTTTCAGAGTGATATATAGGCTCCTCTTTATCTATCTGACATGGAGACCTGAACCTCCGCCAGCTTTAAATTGCATTTCTAAACATTTATTTAAGAGTTGGACACTTCGTGTCATAACAAGTTTTGAAAACTTTCCAGATGAGCTGTATGATCTGGTAAATGTTGTGTTTAAATGGCAAAAGTTGAGTTCAGAGCCTTTTTTTCCCTCTTTCATTTCAGTGTTTAGAGAAGATGTCACTGCACTTCAGCTGAAGCAGCTGCGTACGCAGTTAGCACAGGCTGCTGGAAAATAAAGGAGTTTGAGCACCTATGGTGACACAATCCAGTGGGCTGAGGATCACTCCAAAACTTTGATTTTGCCAAGACTGCTGGGATGCTCTTGCACTCCTCTGGGCATTCTCCATCCACTAAAGCAGCAGTGCTTCAGACAGGCAACCTGGGCATGAGCCTGAGAATTTCACCTCATGTAGACTGTGAAGAGAGGAGAAAAATGTCCTTACAAGCCCAGGTCTTACATTTTGTCCGAATTGGTGGTTGGGACCCCTGGCACGGTGATATTTTGGCTCCTCTGCTTCCAGCATCAGGAGATCCCAGATGAGTTCTGCCCATGAGTTGTCTTTGCTGGGTTTACATTGGGCTCACAGATAAAGTTGTCATGGATGGTCATTTGCATCCGACAGCCCTCCTGCTCTGTGTTCCTGTTTGCTGGGGTCTGGATTTTACTTCTTTAAGCACTGACTACACATGAGAGAGGAATGTAGGGAAGAATATGAAGCAGCAGATTTTGCATTCAGACTTTGCAAAGCTTGGAACTGGCCCTGAGGAGGAAATGGCAGTGGCGTAAGTTAATCCTGGGAATCAGCTCTCTGGCATTTCTGCTATGGTTGATTGATTTCATTTGTCTTCAATGCTGGCTAAAGAGAAAATAGCATCTTCCAGAACAAAGTGTGTTGAATTTGGCTCTATACTGCTGTTCTTATGAAGAGTTTCTGAAACTTTTCCTGTTTGGTTCTTTATCATATTTGTAAGATTCATTACTAAGCAGAAGTATATCCTCAGGCTGGAAAGCTAATCACTAACAGCAGATTATATGTAGTGCAAATGTCTGTGGGACCTCTACTCGCCTTGGTTATTAAATCTTTTTTTTTTATTATTTTCATTTTGTTTAGTATTGCTTCCAAGTCAAATGTCTTGTTAAGAATTAAAGTTTTAAAATGACAGATGTAGAATTTTTATAAAGGATTTCTTCCTTACTATGGAACTAGAAAACAGTTTAAGAAGTTGTATAGGGAAAATGCAATAAATACTACTGCATTTGGAGTGACTTCTGTTTACCCCAGATACACCTGGAGTCCTACTGCAGCCCAACAACCCTGTGTTTTAGTTCAATAGTTCTACATTTCACCCCACTTCCTGCCCTGTGCCTGATCTTGTCTGGCATATGTGTCCTTTAAGACCATGAATATCCTTAAAATAAGCATGTGCTTAAGCGTTTGCTGAACTGAGGCACTGATGGCTTTGCCAAAGGTCACTCATCACAGATAAATAATTAAGGAGAGACAGATGTACATGTCACAGTCCACAGCTAAAATACTAGATCCACAAAAAATTCCCCCTCAGTGTCATAAGAGTCAATGCATACATTTGGCAGCATAAGCACTGGGAAAAGGGAGGCTCTATTGTTGCAATTTTCAACTGGAAATAACAGGCAGAGAAGAGTGAAGGGTATACATATGTATGCAAGGATACATACATATACACCTCATATGTCTTCTCCCTGGGAAACACTGCTCAAAGGGTAACATGTAGGAGCTAGGTAAAGTCCAAAGGCATTTAATGGAAAGTGATACTGTTGGGTTTTTTATTTCAGCATCTCTCTGTAGGCTGTTACATCTATTCATTACATAATTATACCTATTGAGAGCAATTATATTAGTGGGTAAAAATGAACAGTCTATAGAAAGAGGTCTTTTGTAAATTTTTAGAAGAATTCCTGCATTCTTGTATAACTACTATTTGCATTGCTGTTAGGTCACTTGGGTGATCTTCAGTAAGAAGCAGCATTTTTTTCAGGGCTGATCCAAACCATTACATGTCAGTCACCCTGACTGCCTCCAAGTCCATAAGGCAATATTGTCACCCTCAGGTCTTTTTGCTCTTCACTACTATAGAAACGCTCTAGATGGCTTTTCAGTGTTTTCCATTTTGGTTTGATCTTTCTTCCCATTCCTTAGAACTGTGGACTTTTTTTATCTGGGACACCATTAGCCACATTGCATGGACAGACTGTGGCCAGGCACACGTGCACCGGGATGCAGAGACGAGCAGTCCAGGAGCCCGCAGTGTGGGTCAGCTGCCGCTGCCCTAATGGCACTGGCTGTATCCAGGACAGTTTTTCTAACAGCTCCGTGGTCCTCTAGCCTGCACTTGCACATATGAGGATATCTGCATACTGATTAGTATAAGTAGCAGAGTTAAAAGGTAAAAAAGTTGAGAATCTCAGTACTTTGCAAGGCATTTGGTCTGGTTGCAGAGCTGGAACATTTATTTCCATGTGAGTCCCTAAATGGATAGTCTAAGGAGATATCTCTTTTTGTTAAAAAGGACTAATTTTTATACATCTCTAGTCATTTCAATTGCCCAATATCTAACAAATGAGGAACAGGAAGGCCAAGTCCCTCCAAAAGAATAGCTCAGACTCAGAGCAACTGAGACCTCAACTCAATCAACAATGAAGGAGGACAAGAGGACAAGGATGCTTTGCTTTCAGCTGGATTTTGTTGTCCCCACAGAGCAGATCATCTTCAGATCTCAGATACTAATTTCCAGACTAAAACCAAACAAGCATTGTGGGAGACTGGTTACCGTTTAACTTTAATTGGACCATGAACCATTCATGGAGCAACCATTCAGCACAGCAGAAGCTACATTCCTCAGCAAGAAGAATGAGCAGTCGGTGGAGGAGGGGATGCTCTGCAAGCCAGTGCCCTCCTGAAGGTAACATTTGGTGGAAAGCTGCCTCCAGTGACACTTCAGTCTTTTCCTTTGTAAGCATATACAAATTATCATGACCCAAGAAAAGATAATTCATTTATGTGAGTGGTTAGCAGAGCACTCAACATTCTTGTCTGTATTCCAGGACTGTGTTAGAGAGCCATTCCTACAGAATATGGAGTGCTCAGATGTAAAGATGCACTGTTAAGATGGCAGCAATTTTTCATATACTTACCTGGCCAATAGTACATGGAAACGTTCTTTTTAGCTTTCGTCATTGTGACCCACAAAGGCTCAGATCCATTCCACCAGAGAGGCATCAGGCTTTCTTTATTCACACCAATATCAAAAGATACATTTGCCTTCTGGTCCCACATGTAGTTTCCAGTCATCTGATGGACCTCACAGTGGCGACCTTTTGGGGTGGACAAAAAAACCAGCACAATCAGATTGGTGTTCTCCAGCAGAAGGATGCCACCAGCACCACTGCTGCTACTACTGGATCATCCAGCAAATCAGCTGAAAAGATCTGACTTGAATTCAGGGATCTCTTACCTTGCAACTGCTCATACAATCTCCTTGACTGCTACCTTTTATTGAGGTGCTCTAGTTAGCTTGCTATATCCCACAGTTCAGCCACCTAAAAATTAGTTGCTGAAACTTGTCAGCCCCCTGTGTTGCCTGTCAGTGGATAAGAAGAGGCATGTCTAGAAAGCAAATCATGCCACCCCAAGACAGGCATCTCAGATATCTGGAGGTGCATATTGCTCTCTGTTAACGGTAGTGAAAGATCACAGCATTTTCTTAGTTTCAGGCAGCCAAATTTTAGACAGCTGAGGCCAGAAGAAACAAACCCCGCACCCATGGCCTGCTCACCATCCTGCACCCAGCCCAAACACACAAACCATGTCAGCAGCAAAACACACGGGGGCCACCTGGCTCCTCTGATATATGCAGCACCTACCAAGTCTGAGGCCATTTTAAGGTACCCACCAACACTCAGAATCAGAGGGCTGTGGGAAGCAGGCTATGACCTGGACAGGATAAGAATCTAAAAACATTGAATGAAGTCCGGGAAACTCCATTTCTCCTTCCTTTTTCCATAGGGCACATTGTTTTTCTGCAAACAAGCAAAAACTAGGCAAAAACTTTTTTACGTTACATTTATTTTTCCATTATCGTTATATATATATATTTTTTTTAATGATCATGCTTTGTTCTTGGTTGTGGGCACAGCAATCATTTCATCAGGCATGTTCAGCCCTCTTACTGTATCTTAGGGGCCCTTGGGCAACTTTGGATTACAAGAAACTAGTATATAATAACTGAGAGATGCCTCCTACTTCCTGTCATTGTCAGAAGAGACTATATTTTAAGAATTATTCTGCAGATGAATTAACAGAAATGGGAAAAGAAACGTTGAAGACTAAGTTGTACTGGAAGTTCCTGATTTCCATATCTTAAAAAGCAACAACTGAAGCATGTGTTAGACACTGTCATCATTAGGTGGTGAATCATGTTATTGCAGGGATCCAGATAACAGGCTTTGATTATTGTGAGCCTGAGCATGGTGATCAGAACTGAAATAACCTTGGTATGCTTGTTTTGAAAAGGCGTCATTTCAAGCAGAGGACTCTGTATACTTTGGGTACATGTGACCTTGAAATGAATTTTGAACTCTCCTTCTCTACTACAAAGTATTTCAATTATGCAAAACATTTCCTCGTTCCCAGAGGAGAAAAGCAGTCCCAATTTGTGGCAGTCACTATTTATGATATTAAACCAAACAGGTTTAATACAGGAGAACTGGTGGATTGGATGGGCAGTAATCTGTCCTCTTCAGGCTGCCAAGTGCTCTCCTTGCTGTCTCAAAAGAGATGGAGGGAAGTCTAGTGCATCAAAAACGCAGCCTTAAACTTAGAGGGCAACCTCAGCTTCTTAAAGTTGATGTATTCCTAAGCATCTATCAACCTAATAAATTGCAGGCAGGCAACTTGTGCCAGCCTGGGAAACTTGTATTTCAGTACTGAAGCTGTATCTGCATGAGACCTACAGATAGGTATCTATATGATTACAATGTAGTCTTCATATAGAATCAACGAGCTCTAGCTGTTAGCGATCCTGTAGGACTTAAGGTCTCCTATCTCTTTGTCCCCTGTCTTTAAGGAAGAAATTGGAGATTTTTTTTTTGTAGTATTGTTGGGAAGTTTAATTAACGGTTTGCAGTAATACAGAGGACAGTGTTCTGATCTCCACATTAGATGACTTCAACTTTCTATGGACTACAAGTCTTTCTTTTTAATATTGAAAAAGAGGTATAGAAGACTATAAGGCATCAATTTTCATTGCAGATATCCCTGGTTCACAGGGCCAGAAAAGAAAATCAGATGAGCAGACAGATCAAAGGAGGTGACCATTTAATGCCATTCACATCTGCTTACCTGAGGCCTGTGTCCCAGAAAGACCCCAGAACTCTTTGGTCAATAATCATCAGTAATCAACTAATCAATCTCTTCCTTGAGTTGCACATCCTGATATGTATCATCAGCAAACGCTGTTCAAAAAGTATGCCTGGTCTCCAATTTTATTTTTGACCTTTGTTAATCTTCAACCATGGCTATTCTGAGCCTTGCTCACTAGATTAAAAAGCCCTCCAATAATAAGAATTTCTGCCCCCCCCATTAATTAATTAATTAATAATTGATTAATTCTTCTTAATTAAGAAGAATTAAGATCATTCTCAAGTTTCTTTTGGGTCATCTGTACAATCCCAGTTCTTTACATCCCCTGTTTTAACTTGTTTTCTCCAGCCTAAGAAAATTACCTTTGGTGAGCTTCTTTTGGATTATTATCAAAATAGCATCATGGTGTTTGAGAGTCACCATAAAATGCTGAATTTTTTATTTCTTCCATTACAGCAGCTTTCTTCTGTAATCAAACCTTAAGAGTTTCAAACAGAAGCAGGGCAAAAAGCAGTTTCAACATACAGATGTCATTATTAAAACACACTGCAATTGTAGTAAAAATTACCCCTTCCACAAGCAACATAGAAAAACAAAGAGGGTATAGTTCCCAGGAATATGATAACTGCTGTATCCTTCTGGAAGAGAGCCAGCAAAAGCATTTGCAAGTCTGTGTGCTACATCTTACTTGAACACTACACTTCTTACAGCATTTGTCTAAAGCACATTCCCATGTCTCCAGGCACTTTTGTCAGCATTCAAATGAATCTCTGCAAAACAAAGATGAAATTAAAAAAACCAACAAAACACACAGCCATTGGGCCACCCAAAACAGCAGCACAGTAACTCTGAGTGCTGTGCACCCTACATTGGCTGTATGTGACATCTGGAAACCAGAGCATGTGCTCCTGCAGCATTTGCTTTCTTTGGTGGTCTTTCACTGACTGCATGTCAAGATTACAAGTAGGCACGAAACATCATTAAGTGACCACCTGTGTGTAAATTACAAGAGAAAATGCACTTCTGAGACACTCAATCTTTTCTTTACAAGAGAGGTAGTGTGTGATAGATGTGCAATGCTATACTTAGGTGCATCAAGCAACAAAATAGAGGTAAATTATCTCTGCACTGAGGAAATGAGATTTATCAGAGAACTCATGGTGTGTGTATTAGCCAACACAGCAAAGGTACTGCAATCTGATGATGACATCAGTACTAAATGTAGCTGAATGTAGCTAAATGTACTCTCTGATATTATATACATACCTTGCCACTATGGTGAGACCTTTTCTCTCATGTCCCATCATGATGTCCTCACTTTGCAGTCAGTGACAAAAGCCAGGAGGGCAGATGCAAGCATAGGCATGTATAGCATGAGGCTATACAGGCTGGGTAAGAATTAAGTTCCTCCATGCAAACGGTGGATGACTTGCCCTGGGAATTGCTCTGCTTATATGGCTGCCTGCCATAAAGAGGAAGAGAGCAGGACTATAAAGTCACCAGCACCATATTCCTGTTCTGGAGCAGATACCATGGTGTTGCTGCTCCTAAGGGCTGAGCTTTGATATATGCCCTACTCTGCTGTTCCCCTGATGGGTCTCATCTGCTCTGCTTTGAAAAGAAAAACCACATGCGAAATCTTACGTGGCCTGGAGAAGACCAGGGCTCATGAGAAGTTCAAGGGGAGGGCTGGCCTGGGCAAAGTGACCCTGCCATCTGCAGATCCCCAAGTGAAAACAGTACTTGCAAGATGCACACAGGCAATTCAAGTTCACAAAAGAGCTTGCTGGCAAAGACTTTCCAATGTTTTATGACCTCCAATACCAGACAGAGCCAAAGCATAAACACCTTAGCCTGCATCAGGCAAGACTTTGCAATCCAAGTAGGATCACATCAAAAGGCACAGAAAAATCTCTGCTATACACAGCATTAATTTTTTTCCCTGAAGGGGATTAATTTATTAAGAGTATGAAACTCTTAATTCAGTGCTTTCATCATGGGGCCAGGGCTGGGGTGCGGAAAAATTGCTTATAAAACATCCAGCTGAGGTTTTGCAGATGCCCTCTTGTACGAGAAGTCAGGTCTTTTGTACCTCAGGAGCAGGGGCTTCAAGCTGTCAGTTCCTCTCCTGAACCCTCCACTGACAGTGGTGGGCTGAGGGATCACTCTGGGACCTCTGACCACCCACAGCTGGGTACGACTCAAGGGTACCACAGCTCCAAGCCTACAGAAGGCCAGAACAAAACAGTGGGCAAAGCTGCTGCCTGCACCATTAGAGAGAGTATGAGCCTATGGCAGTTTTCTGTCAGTCAGCTGTGACTTCACTCTGGGCAAAGAAATACCTTGATACGTGAATATCCACTCACTGCCACTAATAGCTGGTAGTAGGCACACTAGTTGTGAGCTGTGAGGCTGTAGCTAGTAAGAAGGAAAAAACTCCATATTTCAATTCCTAGCATGTGAACTTGTGTTAGAGAAAACTGTTCTGTTCTCCACTTTGGAAGTGTTTCCATTTTTTCTAACTGGTAGAAAGCAAACAGATTTCTACAATATTTTTTCTATAGGTGAAAGAGAAAAATCTTGGTGCTTGGCATTACAGCCTTTCTGCAGGTGTTGAGTAAACAAAGTGAGAGGAAGAATGTGAAAATTAAAATCCTCATGGTTCCTACTATCTTCTCCAGCCTGCCCTTGCCTGCCTTGCCCTACCCCTTCCATGCCAGTTAATAGTATTACCACAGACTTCTTCATGCTCTTTTGCTTCCCAACACACAGTTTTTGAAACGAAAAGCTAGTGAATCCAAGAAAAAGAAGAGACTTGATTTCAAAACTGTATGTCATGAACACAACCTTCTAAATCCTTGCTGCTGCTGGCATCTGTAAATGTTTAAAGAGGAACAAAAGGAAAAAAATCCTATTCCCTTGTCACTCATTATGCACTTTATGTCCTTCTGGC